GCATTTTTAAAGATGTGGTTCAAAGTCAACTGTAAAATGTATGACAAAAAGTAAAATGCAAAAAGCAAAAGTAATAGTGATGTCACATTTCACAAATGTTTAAGAGTATAATCTGTGCAAAGCATAATTAACTTGAATGAATTTGTAATTGAAAATAGAAAGATTAAATGTCCATACAAATAACTACGACTTGAAGCAGAAGAGTGTAAGTTCCATAATAAAATAATGAACAACTGGCCTGAAGTTAGAGGACAGGTGATGCCCTTGTAACATAGAGGGGTCTAAACTTGTCCTTATAAGAAGAGGAAATTTATTAGACAAGACACATGAAGAGTGAACAGTGTGGAGACATGGGGATAAGATGGTCATCTACCAGTCATGGAGAGAGGACTGACACAGACTTTTACCTCACAGCAATCAGAAAGAACCAAGCCTTCTGACACTTTGATCTCCAACTTTCAGCCTCCATCATTGTGAGAAAATAAATTTAAAGTCACCCAAGCTATGGTACTTTGTTATGACAGCCCTCGCCAACTAATGACACCCATCATACAGATGTCCTAAAATATCATTTTGAGCAGGTAACACTTTGCTGAGAATTTTTTATCTTGGCCCTGCATGAAATCCAAACCCTTCAATATTCTGCACAGCTTTTCATTATCCTTTTACCCAATTTTATATCTTGTTTAATAATAATGTCCTCAGTTTATTAACTGACATTCCTAGCAATAAATCTTTACTTCAGATAATAGTTATTATTTTTACTATCACAGTTTATTATCTATTAAGACTTATATTAGCTGACACTGTTCTAAGAGCTCTACATTTGCTAGCTCATTTAATCCTCACAACTCTACAGAGAAGGCGGTAAGATTATCATTCCCATTTTATAGATGAGGAAACTAAGGCACAGCAAGCAAGTACCTTGCCGCAAAACACACATAATAAATGGCTGAGGCACTATTGGATTCTAGGTGCAGCAATTACATGTTCCATGCTCCTACCTGCTATAATAATAATAGTAGTAGCAATAACCTCATTGAACATTACTATGTGCCTAAGCATTTTATATACATAAGTAGTTTAATTCTTACAATAACTATTGGATATACAGTATATTATTTTCAATTTCCAGGTAGGAATTAGAAGTATGTAGGGGTTAAAGGATTTCCCCAAGGCCACCATGGTAGTGTACTGTGAAACAGACTCCACTCCAGGCAATCTGACAGGAAAGCCTCTGTTCTCCACCCAGATCCTGTCTCCCAGAAAGCAAGTATCTCTCATTCTACCTTTCTGAATGCACCGGCTCTTCTAAACTCAATTCAAAATTCTTTGTTAAGCCTTCTCTAACCTTTCCGGCTGATAGTACTTTCTCTCCTTAAAAATCTCTAAAGCAGAATATACTTTGCCTAGGATAATGGATGGATGGGAATGTTTAATGATATGTTGCTGAGTATTAATATTATTTCTCTGGTTGATGCTTTATCTCTGTATTTCAATCACATACTTTTGAGGGGAGGAACCCAACATAAAGCCTTCTTAGCATTGGGGATAAATTCTCAATTTTAACTTTAATTGAACTGTCTTTAATTTCCTGTTAGATGCTTCAGGGCATTTATATTAGTTTGTCACCTATTCTGTCACTGAAAGTGCATTGACAAGTCCCTAAAGGCATTCAAACTTACCAGAGTCTTTCTTGTTAGACATTAGAATTTAAATTAATTCTTTAAAGAAATTGATATGATCGAATATTTTTTTCCAGAGGGCATCAATTTTTCCACTAAGAAACTACAGCTAAAGCTCACTGATATTCATGTTTTCTCTTTCGTAAAATACTAATCTGCAATATCATATTTTCTTTATTTTATGACTCTGATGTCAGGACAGGACACGTTGATTATAGTTTTAGTTCAATTTGATTTGAAATGGGACAGAAATACCTAGTGGCAATCTATTTAAAGCAATCCACTTTAAATGCTTATCAGTATTCATTTTTGGTAAATTATCACATTAATATATTTTTCTTTATATAGTTTTCTCCTTAGCAGAATTCAGTCATATTACAAATTCTGAAATAAGAAACGACAAATTATCCAAGCTATAACATTAATTTCCTCTTCTGAACTTGCCAAACCATTAAATGCTGGAAACAGCTATTAATAAAAGAGTAAGATATATACCTCAGTAAATCTTTATTCAGATTCTATCAATATTAACAGTATATTTTAAACTTCACTGATACTTTTCATTTGTGATTTGAGTTTGAAACTTTTGTTATTTCCAGAAAACAACCTAATTGTAAAAAGTACTATAAATTTAATGAATATTTATACATGCATATATGTATTTTATGTACATATGTGTACATAATGTAATCTGCCAAAATGCTCCTAAAAAGAATATTAAATCATGATTCTAGTTATGCTTCCCAGTGAATTATAGATACATTTTTATGTTTCACTAAAGTAACACTAATCAACAGTTAAGTTTTGTGACTTGAGCTCTAAATGTATAGAACTATATGAAATGAATAGAATTGATCAATCTGTTGTCTTGCTGTAATAACAGGGGGCTGACATCATGCTCAAGTACACCATGGCTGCCCCTTGTTTCTGGGTAATCTCTGATGTGACTGACCATGACATTGACTACTACATAGAAGCTCTGCTGCAGGGTTGGCTTGGAGGAGGCCCAGGGGCCCCTCCTCTCTACTATGTAAACCAGGCCTGTCAAGCTCCCCGGCTCAAGTATTTTATTGGGGTTGCATCTATAGCCTGTGGCTTGCTTGTCTCTCGGCAGTAATCCCTTGGAGCTGTCTTATTGATGCTGGAAGCCACATGACTATTCTACCTCCAAGCTTAGATTTAATCCTTAGGATAAATCTTTTAAAGTGATTTTCCCCAGTGTTTTATATGAAATATTTCCTTTTGATTTAACTTCAGTATAATAAAGATACAGCACTTAAAACATTTAAGTAAAATTAACATAATTATAATATGCTGAATAGATTTTAAATGATCATTTGTCTTGATTGTCCTTACAAAATCTTTTTACCACATAATTTATCTTTCTACCTATTATCTATATCTTTCCAACGTAACAGAGATACTGTAGGATGCACAATTCCAAAGAATGATTGCTGCAAAAAAGTAAAACACACCACATTTCTTTCAAAGCATCTCTAGTTTGTGTTTAGTAGTCCAATTTTCAGATTTAGCCTTTTCTCAAGACTGTCACATCTTACACACACACACACACACAAAAGATGAAATTAAACCTCATGTGTGATTTACCATTGGACTTAAGGATAAATTCTTATGTTACATGTTGTGATGGTTACAAACTGTAAAGTCTCTTCACATTATTTCTCCAAGTAGCTGACTTTGGCAATTTGTCTTTCTATAAAAATCCCTTCATTGTTTATTTTTTCCAATGTAAGAAACAAGTCATTGAAATTTTCAACACTTGGAGACTTTTTGAGAGAGAGAAACTTGTGTATACTCCACATTGGGGTGACCTAACCTCCAACGAGTTGCTGCAGAAACTCCTTTTTTTGTTACTAAGACTCAAAATGGAATTCATATTTATCTATCTACAGAATAGATACATGGATACATAATTACATAGAAATCCGTAAATCTATGAATGTGCTATTGAAGTTATCTTAGGTCCACAAAGTTTGTTGAGTATAACAAACTTTAGCCTTTTCAGAAGCATCAGTACCTTCCTGCATCTTGAACTGCATTTTGTGAAAACAAAGTATTTCAATAGTGATTCTTTCTCAGTATAGTGCTGAAATAAAAGGCAGTATTTTACAGTAGATAGCATATGGGCATAAGAACTAAGAGACCTAGGTTCTAGTTCTGGCTCTACTATATCAATTAGCTATATGACTTTCTGTGTTTACTCATCAATAAAACTGGGATAATAGTATTTCCCTTACTTGTCTTAAATGGTTGGGATGCAGAGTAAATCCAAGTCTCTGCAGTGGCTTATCAAGCTGCATTGGAACTTGCCCTATGTCTAACTCTCTGACCTGATCCCCAGCTAGACTTTCCCTCACTGGCTCAGCTCTGTTGCAGTCACACTGGCTTCCTTATTGTTCCCTGACTATTCAACTTAAGGTCTCCGCACTGACCAATTTTTCTCCACAGAATGCTCTGTCTCTGACAGCTTCAAGCTCACTTTCTCTTTTCCTCACATCCTTTAGGTTTCTACTCAAATGTCACTTCAATCAATGAAATATAGTGTTCCCAACTTTCTCTATGTGTTTATTCTTTTACCTATTGATCAGTTCATTATTTGTTTGCTTTCTGATAAAGGGCAATCTCAAGGAATATGGGAAATTTTGTTATCCTTAGGAATAACAACAAATAAAATTTTTTTCTGAATCACTCCACATAAAAATTTAGCAGTGTGTTTAGTTGGAAAGTTTGTATCGCTGCTTTTTACTAATTAATTTGAAACTATGCAAATATTATTTTACTTTTTACGACATTAAATATATTTTCAGATACATATATCTCATAATAATTTATCACTGTATGGTAAATTACGCTTTTAACATTTCTATAGTTTGCCTCTCTTAATTGCTCAAATATTCAAACCATGAACTAATTTTGTATAATGCTTCTCTGAAAAGACAGTTTATGCACTCCCTTTGGAAGTAAATTGATTTCTTCATTAAAAGCAACATATTATGTTTCAGGACTTTAATATGTCACAAGCTAAGCTGAGAGCACAGTGTTATTTGCTCTGATAAAATACTTTTCAAATTGGTCCTGGGTTTTTGTTAGACATGTTTGTGTTTGTCTCCCCTACTGCAACACAGTATGGTGGAAAGCAGAGACCATTTCTTATCCATTTTATGATTTTCTAATACTTTATACATAGCAGGCCCTTCATAACTATCTGGTTAATTTATTGAATATAGGCATTCATGCAATGTTAGTTAACCACCTCCTTCTTTAAGAAGAAATAAAATGAAGGACCTTACTTACATTTAGAGCCTGTTGACCCACTGGCAGTAGATCTCGATCCACCTTTCATGGAAAAGACTCCTTTCCCCCTGCGAGTCGTCGTGACTGCCACTCTGGGACGCTTCAGTGGAATTACTGCACGGGGAGGTGGAGGCACACGCCCGTGGTAATCAAATAACCTTTACAAAACACAAATGGGACTGAGAGTTGGTTTGATACCCGAGAATTCTATCAAATATGTGAAATGATTAACAGAATAGCCCCGTAGAAAATTTCAATAAATGTTTTCTTTCTGCTGCTGTTCTCTAATATTCAGATGCAGGTATTATTTGGCAGATTTAATTTTCACTAAGAAAATAGAATGCTAATATAGTCTATGCTTTCTGGACTTTAGAGTGTGACCTCCAAGAGGAACTCATTTGTAAGGTATGAAAGGACTAGGAGCTTTGCTCCAACAGTAACATGCAATTTGTTGAAATTATGCTGACCTTCATCCCTAAATATACTTCTTTGCTTGATAAAACAGATTTACATTTCTTATGAACAGAAATATTCCTCTTACACGTCAAACACTTATTAGCACATTAGTTTAAAAGAGGAAAGGATCTTGCAGAACGGGAACAAAGAAATAAAATTACTGGTCAAACAATAAACAGCCCAGCAAGATAAAAAAGTAAAACGAGCTTAAAGAAAACAGCTATGAGAGACAGATCAATATGGTGCTTCAGCTCACTCTAAGAATCTTTTCAGTAACAAAAGGCTCCTCTGATTGCAGACAAAAGGAGACAGCTTTTGGTGTTTTAGACATGAAGTCTTTGCCCATGCCTATGTCCTGAATGGTACTACCTAGGTTTTCCTCTAGGATTTTTATGGTATTAGGTCTAACATTTAAGTCTCTAATCCATCTTGAATTAATTTTCGTATAAGGAGTAAGGAAAGGATCCAGTTTCAGCTTTCTACTTATGGCTAGCCAGTTTTCCCAGCACCATTTATTAAATAGGGAATCCTTTCCCCATTTCTTGTTTCTCTCAGGTTTGTCAAAGATCAGATGGCTGTAGATGTGTGGTATTATTTCTGAGGACTCTGTTCTGTTCCATTGGTCTATATCTCTGTTTTGGTACCAGTACCATGCTGTTTTGGTTACTGTAAGCCAAAATTGACAAATGGGATCTCATCAAACTAAAGAGCTTCTGCACAGCAAAAGAAACTACCATCAGAGTGAGCAGGCAACCTACAGAATGGGAGAAAATTTTTGCAATCTACTCATCTGACAAAGGGCTAATATCCAGAACCTACAAAGAACTCAAACAAATTTACAAGAAAAAAACAAACAACCCCATCCAAAAGTGGGCAAAGGATATGAACAGACATTTCTCAAAAGAAGACATTCATACAGCCAACAGACACATGAAAAAATGCTCATCATCACTGGCCATCAGAGAAATGCAAATCAAAACCACAATGAGATACCATCTCACACCAGTTAGAATGGCAATCATTAAAAAGTCAGGAAACAACAGGTGCTGGAGAGGATGTGGAGAAATAGGAACACTTTTACACTGTTGGTGGGATTGTAAACTAGTTCAACCATTATGGAAAACAGTATGGCGATTCCTCAGGGATCTAGAACTAGATGTACCATATGACCCAGCCATCCCATTACTGGGTATATACCCAAAGGATTATAAATTATGCTGCTATAA